TGCGTGTGCAGAACACGGGGGACGCCCCCTTTGAGTTCACCGCCGCGCTGCACAGCTACATCGAGGTGGCGGATGTGGGAGAGGCGCGGGTGCGGGGCCTGCAGGGGCTGGAGTACCTGGACAAGGTGCGTGTGTGTGTGTGTGGTGTGGTGTGGGTGGGTGGGTGTTTATGTGTGCATTTGCATGTTGCATTTTTAGTAATGCGCCAGCAAGGCTGGAGGAGCGCTGTGGGGTGCTGTGCCCGGGCGCCCCCCCGCCTGGGAGAAGCGGTTGCCGCCTGCCGGGCTGGCGTGCTGCCGCCTAGTGCGCCTTGTTGCCGCCTGGCCTCGCCCCCCTTTGGTGTCATGGTTTGTTTACTGAGGAAGCTAGGCGCGTGTAGGTTCCTCTGCCCCACCTTGACTGACCTGTGGCCTTGCCCAGCTGCTGCACCAGCACCGCGCTGGCTCCGGAGCTGCGGCCGCCGCCTCCCTCCCAGCCTGCCGCCGCCCTCCCTGCCGCCGCGCCTCACCCCGCGGCCCCCACACCGCCCCACCCTGGCTGCGTGCCCCCCTGCGCAGACCGCCGACCCCGCCAACCCGGTGAGGAAGAGGGAGGAGCGGGAGGAGGTGACCTTTGAGGGCCCCGTGGACAGGTTTGAGTGGCTGATGTGTGGTGGTGGGGGGGTGACGCCTGTACGTGTGTGTGTTTAGGGTGGTAGTGGGTGGGACGGCGTGTTGACTGATTGGGAACACTCCTTAGATTTCGATTTTGCTAGGTTGGCATCTTGGCTTGAGTGGCAAGGCTGTGCGGGGCTGGCGGGGCCACGGCGCCGCCGCCTCCGAGCCGCCCTCCGCCGCCGCCCCGCCTCCCTCCGCTCCCCTGCCCCACCCCCACTCGCACCCCCACTCTCCTCCTTCGTCCCTGCCGCCCTGCTTCCCTCCGCCCCTCCACCTCTGCGCAGCGTGTACCTCAAGGCCCGAGACTACGTGGAGCTGGATGTGGGCACAGGTGGGCGGCGATGCGGCCACAACCACGGTCCTGCATTCTGCGCTGTTTGAGCTGCCGGTGGCGGGCCGGACACATGCGCTGCTTTCCTTCAGCTTCAGCACGGGAGATCGTATGCCCGTCCCCTCCCTGCCTCCCCGCCCTTGCCTCCCCCGACACCCTCGCGCCCCCACCCACAGCAGAGAGGTGCCGGCGGCACCGTGACCACCAACCGCTGGGACGACGTGGTGGTGTGGGCCCCCTGGACCGCGATGCCCGAATTCTACCGCTCCTTGGAAAGCGCGCAGTTCAGCAGCCCTGTGCGCCTGAAGCCCGGGGAGCACTGGCGCAGCCAGGCGGAGTGGGCGGTGAAGGACCTGTGAGGCGGGCTCGCCCTGGCCGCTGCCAGGCTGTCAGCCAGCTGCTGCCAGCCATTCACCGATCCTGCTGCTCGCCGGTGCCGCCAGCGTCGCCCTGTCGCGCACAGCCCACCGCCATCCGCCCCTCCTTCCCACCGGGTCTGTCCCTGGGATCACCAGCAAACAAGTTTGGCGGCGGCGGCGCTGGAAATGATGCAAGCAGCTTGGGCACACGCCATGCGGCGCAAGTGGGCCTTCTGTGCATGCCGACTGCCTTGTATTTCTCCTCTGTGAAGGACTTGTAAGTTACAAGGCAGCAGGGCAGGAGTGGAGCGGGGCACCAATGGGAAGGGAAGCGGGGGGCAACAGAGGGTAAAAGCTGCCGCCGGCGGCTGGGGCAGCGACTGTGGCAGCAACAGATGCAGTAGAGGGTCTAGGAGTGGGGCAACAACATGTGAGCGGGGAGAGCACATAGCACAATGGCAGAGCAACGCGCAAACAGAAAAGGGCGGCGTGGAGGGGAGCGAGGAGACACAAGCTGGAAGCAGGGTTGATGCGGCACGTGACGTTGCCAATAGGTAGGCGCTGAGGTCAGGTGGCCGCTGCATGCGGCACGGCGCGGCGACTCCTCCTCCTCCTCCTCCTCCTCGCTGCTGCTATCACCAGACGTGACAGACGTGAAGTGCCAGTCCAGGCCCAGCTGGGCGCAGATGCAGGCCAGGGCTGTTGTATCATCAACATACAGCTTGCTGCTTGCAGCGGCGGGGTGGGGTGGAGGGGTCATCTGAGGCAATGGGCATTCACCGGTGCTGTGAACGCCTCCCAACGGGCATTCATGCCACTCCGTCGACGCAGTTGCCGGCAGCCGCCTGCAGCCGCCGCCCTCGAGGAGCCCCCCCAAAGCTTGCCGTCACCCGGCCAGCTCCCTGGAGCGCTGCGCGGCGGCGTTGACGGCCCGTATAAAGGCGCCCCGCACGCCGCTGACCTCCAGCTCCGCCAGGCCCGCGATGGTGGTGCCTGCAGGTAGGGGTGCAGGGGGGCGGCGCGACTCACTGCTGTGTGTGTGTGTGTGTGTGTGTGTGTGTGTGTGTGTGTGTGTGTGTGCGTGCGTGCGTGCGTGTGTGTGTGTGTGTGCAAGGGTAGGTGACGGCTTCGATGCCAGGGTGTTTGGACCCCAGGGAGGGGTTTGAGATGCCCGCCTGCACGCGCCAGGGTCCCCCCCTCAGGGCTGGCCACGGTCGCTCCACCAGGAAGGCACCCAGGTGCGACCCTTCCCAGTGTTCCATGCTGAGGTACCATGCGATACCACCTACCCCCCCGCGCCCACACCTGCGGGCGAGGCCACCCGGTCCTTGAGTACCCCGGGGTGCACCATGCCCAGAGAGGAGCTGCCGCCGCTGCCGCCGCCGCCGTCGTCGGAGAACACCATCTGCAGCTCCGGGGGGAATCGAGAAGGAAGAGAAGGGAGGAAGGAGCATGGGAAGGGAGGGAGCAGCATGGGAAGGGACGAGGGAGCACAAGAGCGGCGCACGGTGCACAAAACATGAGGCACGGCACCGCGGCGGCGATGCCCGCTGCTCTCCCTGCCGCCCACGCCGCCGCCCCGCCCTCCTCGGCACCAGCACCAGCGCCACCCGTGCATCGCCACGCCACCCTTCTCCCCTGCACCCCGCCCCTCACCCACCTGCGCCGCCCCCGCCACCGTCTTGGCCGCCAGCGCCAGCGCTGTGTCTCGGTGAAGGCCAGCCATGACGCCGCCATCCGCCAGCGCCTCGATCATGAGGTAGACAAAGGCGGGGCCGGAGCCGGAGAGCCCTGTGCGCGGCGGGTGGGAGGGGGGAGACGGCGGCACAAGCAGATGGGGGCAGGGCGGGGCAGGGCAGGGCAGGGCCAGCACACAGCTTGGCAAGCAGCGGGTCGGTCGGGGGCCAGGCGACGTGGGAGCACACGCGCGCCGCAGCAAGAAATAGAGAGCGGCGCAACCGCCGCAAGCCGGCAGCCGAGCGGCAGCCCACCCCCTGGCCGGGTGCACCCACCTGTCACCGCATCCAGCTGCTTCTCTTCCACCGCCAGGCAGAATCCCACGGAGGAGAGCAGCAGGTCGACGACGTCGGCGTCACTCTGGGTGGCGGCGCTGCCCAGTGCGTACGCCGACGCGCCGCATTGCACTGCAGGGCGGGGCGGGGGTGGGCGGGTGCGTGTGGTGAGGGGCGAGCTGCAGCGGCGGCGGCACAGAGGCGGTGGGCAGGTGTGGCAAGAGGGCAGCGGCAGTGGGGCCACCACAGCGTGCGGGCCGTGGCTGTGTGTGGGAGCGTGGAAGCACTCGCCTAGCACGGGCGTGTTGGGCATGACCCGCACCACGCGCACCCCCTCCCCCAGTGCTGCCTCCAGCGTCTGCAGCGTGATGCCCGCGGCGATGGATATCTGCGGCAGGGCGGGGCGGGGTGGTGTGGTGGGGTGAGGGGTGAGAGCTGGGGTAGGGTGAGGAGTGGGGAGGGCGCACACCGAGGTGCGGTGCCCCAGGGAAAAGAAACAACGCAGCCCCCCAGGGAAAAGAAACAGCGCAGCCCTGGCCAGGCGGCAGCCGCCACCCCAGCCCCGGCATCGGCATCAGCAGCAGTACCAGCAGGTGGTCCCTCACTCACCACCAGGTGGTCCCGCGTGACGTGCGGCGCCAGCGAGGCCAGCACCTCCCCCATAGCCTGCGGCTTGGTGCACAGCATGATGACGGAGCTGAAGCGCGCCACGTCGCGGCTGCCGCCGTCTGTCGCGTCGCCAAAAATGCTGCGCGGGGTGGGGGGGTGGTGTGGAGTGTGTGTGTGTGTGTGCCCGTCGGCGCCTGGCAGGGCGCGCAGGCGCGGGCTGGCAGCAACCGTCCACCGACCAACAAGCAACACAAAAGGAACAAAGCACTAGACATGGTTGCTGCTGTGAATGGTCTGTGCAGACAAACAGAGCGGCATGGGCAAACAAGCAGCGGCGGCGCCGCGCGCCGTGCCTGCCGATGCCCAGCCGCTCCAGCGCATCCTGCCGCTCCACATCCTTGACAGACACGCAGATGCGGCCAGGGCTGGACACCTGCACACACCCGCCCAGGACCACACCCGCTGGGGCGGAGAGGCAGGCGGAGGGGCTGCCTCGGCGGGGCGATGCGCAGGCGCCGGCACAGCCACCAGGCATCGAAGAACAGGGCAGGGCCGGGATCGGCAGAGGCAGGTGCGGGCGTTCGGCTGCCAGCGTGTGTGCGGCTGGCTGCCGGCTCACCTTGGAGCGCAGGAAGCCGCGGATCAGGGCCTCGCCCATCTGCCGGCAGTTACAGGAAGGGGAAGCGCAGGGAGGGCGGGGTGGAGGGAGGCGGGCAGGCAGGCAGCGGCAGCAGCTCGGGCACACGTGCTGGCGGCATGGCGGGGTGCTGCCCAACGGCGGCATGCTGCAAGGGGGCAGCCCTCTGCCTGGCCTGGCCCACCTGTCCCGCCCCGATGAAGCCTATGCGTTCGGGGATGTAGGTGAGGGGGCCGCTTGGCGGGGCCGCCGCCGCCGCCGCCGCCGCCGCCGCCGCGTCTTTTGACGCGCTGCTGCAGATGCCAGCCCACTGCTGCTGGCCCCTGCTGCTGCTGCTGCTGCATGTCGTGTGCAGCGCAGGGCCTGCAGGGCAGGGGCGTGCAGGAGGCTTGGCAGCAGTGCGAAGAAGGCTGGCCAGCCCAGGACGCCGCCGCGTCTGACGAGTGCCGCAGACCGCCCACCTGCTGCAAGCGGGCGCCAGGCGGCCAGTGACGGCCCGCTGCCCAGGCACAGGCACCGCCAGCCCCTGGCCGCCAGACGTGTGGATGCCATGTCGCTGAGAGCTGGAGATGCAGGTAGGCAGGGAAAGCTCACACACATGCACCAATGCTGCCCTGATTCACTCAGCACTCGCGATCGCTGTATGCATGCGCTGCAGCATTATCTCAATTGTCAGCAGTACACGGAGCATGTGCAGTACACATTCCGAAGTCAGCCTCCTCGGATCGCCCCTGCGCGTCGTACGATGATCAGGTTTCAAAAGTGAACGCACCGGGATGTCTCTTCTGCAGGGCTTTGCCTCTGTCAACACAGAGGGGCCCGGGCCGGGGGCCCAGCAGACACAGACCCTCGAGGCGCAGGAGTCCCGCATCATCTCATCCTACGAGCATGCCCTGTCGCTGATTCAGGCGCTGCGGGCCGATGAGGCGGAGGTGACTCCCCACTGCCTGCCACTTTCGCGGCGCCGACTGATCACCGGCCCAGCAACCGTTGGCGGGGCAGCCTCCAGCGCGACTGAACCTCCCCAGGCCCCCGCCGCTCCGCGAACTAGGTTGCGCCGCCGCCTGCCGCCAGCCGCGGCCAACCCGCCCCACGGCACCCCTCGCCTCGTCCGCCCCTCCCCGCAGGCCTCGCTGCGCCAGCTGCTGGCGGAGCCGCTGGTGGAGGAGTGCGCCACCGACCAGCTGCACCGCATCAAGTTTTTGGCTCTCAAGAACCTGGGAGACCTGCTGGCGCGGCGCGGGCCCACCCCGGGGGGCGTCCCCGCCGCCCTCGCCGCCTACTGCCGCGCCACCGAGGTGGAGGGCGACGATGCGGGGCTGTGGAACAAGCTGGGCACGCTGGTGGGTGCTGGCAGAGGCGGGCGGCTGGCCTGCGCGGGGGACCCGCGCTGCTGGCGAGGGCCGCCGCCGTGCAGCATCATCAGCAGCAGCAGTAGCAGCAGCAGCAGCAGGAGCAGGAGCATGCCAATGAGGGCGCGACGAATAAGCCGAGGCTGGCGCCAGCACCAGCCGGGGGCCTGCAGCCGGCCTGGGCAGCCACACATTCCCTCATTCTCTGCTCGTGCTTCCCCACCCGGTTTGCAGGCGTCTGGGGCGGGGTACTGGGCCGCCGCTCGCAGCGCTCTGGAGCGCGGGCTGGAGCTGGAGCCCTCCCACCCCACCATGCCAGACAAGCTGCTGCAGCTGCTGCTGCACGTCGGCGACACCGGCGCGGCGGCGGCCCTGGCGGCAGCGCTGCTGAGGGCCAACCCGCGGCACGCCGGCGCGGCGGCGGCGGCGGCGGCGGCCACACGCGGCGGCGGCGGCAGCGGCGAGCCCGCGCTGCGCTCGGGCCTGCTGCAGCTGCCGGCGGCGGCGGCGGGCGCGGGCGGCGGCCGGCCGTCTCACCAGCAGCAGCACCACCATCACCTGGAGAGGCCCCGCACGTTGGAGCAGCCCTCCTGGCAGCAGCTGCTTCACCACTCGCTCCTCTTCCTCATAGCCAACAGGCTGGCGGAGGGCGGCGGGGGGGCCACCCCGACCGCCACCGCAGCCGCAGCAGCGCCTGCCGGCATCGCGGCGAGAGCCGCAGCAGGGGAACCGGCGGCCGCAGCGGATCGCAGCCACCAGAGGCATGTGCCGTCGGTGGTGCGCTTCACATACAAGCGGCTGCAACCGCCGCCGCCGCCGCCGCAGCAGCAGCAGCAGCAGGCGGCGGCAGCTGGGGCGGCAGGAGCGGCTGGGGCGGTGGGATCAGCCTCGCCCACCGCTCAGCAGCAGCAGCAGCAGCAGCAGCCGCAAGCGGCAGGGGAGCAGGCCACTCCAGCAGGGGGCGCCTCGCCGGCCGCGCAGCGGTCGCCGGCCCCCGCAGCCGCAGAGAGCAGCCCCGGCGCCCCCGCCGCCGCTTTGCGGCAGGCTGTGCAGGCGGGTGCAGCCTCTCCAGTCCCCGCAGCAACTCCAACAGCAGATGCTGCAGCCTCGCCGCCTGTACCGCCGTCGGCCGGCGGTACGCGCAGCACGCAGAGCCCGGGGGGCGGCGGCAGCGCGGCGGCGGCGGCGGCGGCGGCTGAGGAGGAGCAGGAGCAGCGACACCCAAATGGCCGGTCGGGCGGCGGCATCAAGAAGGCTGAGGCTCGGGCCACTCGCTCCAGGTGTGTGTGTGTGTGTGTGTGTGTGTGTTGCATGCTCCCAGGCTGGCGTGACGCAGCAGCAGAGGTACCGGCAGCAGCAGCAGCAGCGCAGGGCTTGACCCGCAGCCTGCGCCGCCCCGCGCCGCGCCGCACCTGCCTGCCCCTGCCGCCGCAGGGCCGCCACCGGCCAGGCGGCGCCGCCGCTGGTGCCCGGCCCCGCCGGCGCCTGCCAGCAGCAGGGCCCCGAGGAGGCGGCGGCGGAGCTGGTGGCGGCGCTCGGCTTCTTCCTCACCCCGCCCCACCAGCCCGCCGCCGCGGCCGCCTTTGCCGCGGGCTCGCCGCTGCTCTCCTCTCCCGACAAGTATAGAGGGCCGCCGGGGCCGGGGGCGGGAGAGCGGGTGCCAGCTGGCGCAGCGGGCGCAGCGTCGGCCTGGCAGCAGCAGCAGCAGCAGGCGCCGGAGGAGGAGGAGGCGGAGGCGGTGAAGGTGTTCCTGCGGCGGCTGCCGGCGACGGGCGTGGGGCGTGGGGAGCTGGCGGGGCTGCTGCTGCGCACGCTGTGCGCTGACGTGGACGCCGCCGCCAGGCTGGCGCCCCCCGCCCGCCACCAGCTGCTGCTGCTGGCGCACGCCATGCAGCACGAGGTGCCCCGC